AATCCTTTTGACAATGCATTGCTGGAGCAGGTATTCGGCAAGTTGTCGACGCTGYTGCAGCCCGATGAGGTGCTGCCGGAAGCATCCCCCGCCTATCGTTTGAGTCTGGCTTGTGGACTGCTATACAAGTTTCTTCTGAAACATGCTCCCAAAGAGGAAGTGAACGAAGCATTTAAGAGCGGAGCGCAACTATTGCAGCGTCCATTGTCCTCGGGCACACAGGTGTACCAGACCCAACAGCAGAACTATCCCGTTACGCAGGCGGTGCAGAAAGTGGAGGGCATGATTCAGTGCTCGGGCGAGGCGACCTACATGAATGATGTGCTGACTACTTCGAATACTGTGCATTGCGCTTTTGTGGGAGCCACCAAAGTGGCCGCCAGYATAGAGCAAATTGATGCATCGGAAGCCCTTCGGCAGCCTGGCGTGGTGGCCTTCTACAGTGCTAAAGATATACCCGGCACAAATACGTTCTGTGATCCGAACTTTGGCTACGAGCCTGAAGAGATCTTCTGCACCACACCGGTCAGACACTATGGACAGCCCGTGGGCGTGGTAGTTGCCCTCACGGCGGATATTGCGAAGCAAGCAGCCCAGCTGGTAAAGATCACCTATGGCCAGCAGTCTACGAAGCATAAAGTGTTGCCCAGCTTAAGCGATGTATTGGATATGTCGCCGGAGCCGGAGGCTTCGCGCATTATTCGTGAGGTCTCCGCAAAGCCGGGCAAGTTGAAGTGCTCGACTACGCCGGATAAGACTGTGCGAGGCGTCTTGCAGATTGGACTGCAGTACCACTTCACCATGGAGCCCCAGACAACGGTGGCAGTGCCTTTCGAGGATGGCCTCAAGGTTTACTCCGCCACCCAGTGGATGGATCACACGCAGTCGGTAATTGCCCAAATGTTGCAGATAAAGGCCAAGGATGTGCAGCTACAGGTCCGACGCTTGGGTGGCGCCTACGGCAGTAAAATAACGCGCGGCAATCAGGTGGCCTGCGCCGCCTCTTTAGCTGCTCAAAAGCTGAATCGACCCGTGCGCTTTGTGCA